TTTTTTGTTGTTGTTGTTGTTGGCCACTGGTTGCCACCGCATATGGCCCTTGGCGATATGCTCTTGCCCGCCACCCCTTCGAAACACGCAAGGACGGGACAAAATGGCACGGATCCTTTTATTAAAACCCTCTGTATTACAAAGGCATTTTAATAAAAAGATTGTGATGACGTCAGTGCCTCACCAGCCATAAATCTCATTGCACGTCACTGGTACAAACTGCCATAAGTGGGAGATGCTGAAGGGAGGTGATGCACATGGTTCTTCTTGTATTTGCCCTGCAACATTTTTTTAAAATTTTTGTTTTCTTTCTGAAACACAGAACCAAAGTCTTTGGGATTTTGTTTCTGATGAACTGTGATCAACCCAAAATGGTTTGGCAGAATTTTCAGGATGTGGAGCTTTGTTCTGGGTCTCAGTCATAACCTATATGTGTTTTGGATGCTTTTTTTTTTTTTTAGAACTTTCTAACTCGGAGATCCCGCCAAATCTTAAGTGTTTGAGCTTCTTGAACTAAGAGCTCCTGAAATTCTGTATTAATCAATGTATAGGATTTCCTTTCTGAGCACAACCTAATAGCCTTGCAATAACTATCGGAACTTTTCATTTCTTTGAGAACGTTCAGGACCTGAAACAGTGTGGCTAGAAAGGGTAACGAGTTTCAAACATGACACAGGAAGCAGTAGAGTACACCCTGAGCCCAACATACATCTGATTAACATTCATCTTTAAACTTTTGAGCCTTTCCGCAGCTATAAGAGCAGCTATGAGAAGTAAAGCACTGAAAAAATGTGAAGGTAACACACTTTCCTTGCCCCCTCCTAAAAACAGACTATTCCACTCAACAGCTTTCTTTCCATTGTAAACAATTTTATTCACTCTTTGAAAGAGTCATGCAATCCTAAATACATATTGCATCATTGTCATTGAGGTGCACACAAGTGTATCCAGAGGGCTTCATCCTTCATTGCCCAGGGTCAAATATAGCTGCAGTCCTGAGTGAGATTCCACTTGCTTATCTGCTCCCACTCTTTGCTCATTGATGTATTTCAGATCGGCCCAATTTCTGCATCTGGCAATTTCTGTTTTCACAAAACAAAAACTGGCTAGGAGGGGTGCAGGAAACATGGCCTTCGTCCCTGAGAGAAAAAGGCTACAAGAGAAAGCTACATTTTAGAATGGCCTTGCTGGGCCATTTCTTTTCCTGCCATTCGATTACCATTATTACAGTCTTTATAGAAAGATGCCTGGAACATTAGGACCACACACATTTCGAGAGTATTGGTGGGAACAGAATAAAGTATATACACATCGCCTAAACCAATCCCATGATCCCTTTTAACATTTGTCCTAATTGCAGACATTGTCTCAATATATGAATATTTTACAGGCATACTACGTAACAGGTGAGGTAAGCTCAAAGAAATGCACTTTTGCCTAGTTTTCTAAATGAAGAATGAGAACAGTTAGACAAAGTCATGCTCATAGGACAAAATAACTTGCATGGGTATTCACCAGAGGTGGGTTGCTGCCGGTTCGGCCTGGTTTAGTTGAACCAGTAGTGGCGGCAGCGGGAGGTTCCGGCCACCCGCCCGGATGCTTCTACACATGCGCGAGCGAACCAGTAGTAAACGAGTTAGCAACCAACCATTGGTGTTCACCAGCTGCACCAAATCATGTGAAGACTCCAGATCCACTTAGTCACTTCATGAGGCATTATTCTGAATGCCCCTCAAGTTCGTTCTGCTAGTTTGTTGCTACTGTTGTTGGACTTTCAAAATACTATCAATATTGTTCATAAAGTCAAAGAACTAGGAGGGGCCACATTTAGTCCATCAAATCCAACCTCCTGCTCAGTGCAGGGATTCTTAGCAGATGGCTATCTGGCATTCACTTTACACATGCAGTAAAGGGGAACTCACCATTTGTTTCAAGCTTTTCCTAACATTCAATTGAACCCTCCCATAAGTTCATAATTACATGTCCTGTATTCTAAAAGGCTAAAGAACAGAACTTGATCTTCTTCTCTGGGTCATCCTTTCAGGCCTTTGAAGATGATCTTTTCCTCCTAGTTTTCTGTTCTCAAGGTCAATCATTCTCAGTTCCTCTTTTCACAAGTCTTCATTTCCAGCTTCTCCATCATTCTTATGGCTTTCTCTGAACTTATTGCATTTTATTTTAAACATTTTTACTGTTTGGTATCAAGAACTGGGATTGATGGTCAAGATAAGATCTCACTATAATAAAATGGAACAAATACTTCTTGCAATTTGATACTTATACTTACATAGAATCCAAATTTTATTTTGCCTTTTTTTTTGCAGCAATGCCACCTGCTGATTAAAATTTGTGGCAACTACCAGTATGTCAAAATCTTTCTAACCAATATCCAGTTAGATATTCATTCTATACCTGTACAATTGATTTATTTCCTATACAATTTCACATTTATATATTAAATTCATTGTATTATTTTTGATCCATTATTATTTTTATTATTATTATTATCTATTATTTTTGATCCATTTCTGTAACCTGTCAGGATTGTTCTAAGCCTTATTTCTAGCTTTGAAGGTGTTGTCAGTAAATCTGAGGAGCATCGTGTGTCCAATCACACTTGGTTAATAAAGAATTCTAATCAAATTTCCATTTCTCATTCCAGTCATTTACAAAAGTTCATTTGATTTGATGTGGAATTATCGATGGATACTCTTAAATATAATTTTAAAAACCAACTGTTTAATTATTATAAAATTAAATCCACAAGTAACCAGTTGGCTAATCAGAATAGCATGGGGTGTTTTTTTTTCCAAATTCTTTGCTGAAATAAAAAATACTGAATTATATCTGTAGCATTTCATCCTGTAGCTAGGTTGCTAGGTTAGACTTCTTGACAAATCCAAGCTGGCTTCTGTCAACATTTTGAAAACAAGGTAATTACTAGATCAACTTCTCAGATACTGGTATTAGATTGACCTCTAGTTCCTCTGGATCCTTCCTCCCTTTTTGAAGAGGGAAACATTTATTCTCTTCTGCATTGCACATTCCCTGATCTCCAAGATTTTCCAAAGATCATGCAGCACTGTCAATCAGTTCCTTTGATATCCAAGGATAAAATCCAATTGATATTGAATTAATTTTCTTATTCAAAAATAAACAGGTATTTCCTGACCATATTTCTTTTGCCCTCAAACCTCAATCCTGTCACTTTATTCTGTTCTTCCCAGTTGCTTTTTTAACATCTCCTTGTTTGGAGAAGATTAAGTCAAAATAAGAGCTGAGTAGTTTTGCTTTTGTTTACTTTTACCATTTTTACCATTTTTTACTGTTTAGTTAATGTGTATTTAAACTTGGTATTTTTCATTAAGCCATCCAAGGATGCAGTGGAAATGCTGCCAATGTAGCAATGCACACATTTGTTCTTATGTGACTACACAAAGTAAGGTATGATAGTACCTGAGCAGATTTGCATTTTAAAACTTGAAAAGGGGATGAGGAATGATGCAGAACGTGACGAGGTGCACTTTGTCTTCTTCCTTTGGAGGCTACACAAGATCATCATCCAGAAAGTATCTCCTGGAAAATAACTCTACATCTCTGTGAAGAATTGTCAGTTACTATAGCTTATTAACGAAGACCTAGAAGCAAGGATTCAAGGTAAAACCAAGCAGTCCACCACCATTACTCTGATGGAAATTATAAATGAACCCTTCTCATTGAATGATTAATGGAACTAGATTGTCCAGCTGTAAAACTTTATGGTTAATATCCAATAGGATGGCACCCAAAGACAGGTAAAGCAGCTTTAAACAGAAAAAAAAATCCATACGCATCTACAGTTAGTAGTTTTGCTTCCGCCATGTCTCCAAAAAACTGCTTGAATGCCATTTATGTCCATAGCTTCAGTAGTCCAGTAGAGATCGTATCTCCAAAACTTTCATTAGTTTTAATGCATATATTCAAAAACAGTTGGCCCCAAGATACTGGAGATTCACCAGATTGCTAGTAATATGTTGGGAAGGGAGGAAAGAGAATTGCAGCACGATCATTACATGAACAAGCAAGTAATTGTTTTTCAGTGTAAAAGAAATCACATTGCTGCCTTGGTATGATTTTCATATACTCGTCACCAAGGGAAATATGTTAACATGATAATTAACAAATGTGTAATGAAAGACATCTTCAAAGAGGCTTTACCCATATAAACAGACTTTAACAACATGCATGTAGTTCAAGTGACATCACCATACAAATAATGTATTTAATATATCTCTCAACAAATTGCTATTTTATGCCAGTTCTTTTTGTTTTCCCCAGCCACACCTACAGTTAGTTCATTTCCTTTTGCCGAAGGGGGGGAGGGACAGAGAAATCTCCCTGTTGAAAAGTTTCAATTAGAGCTAGCTACACTACTTACCTATCCACTTGGAGAGAACTTATTTCTTGACCAAAGTACTGATGGTACTAGGTGTGTTAATTCCCCTGAAACAGCATTGTCTCTGTATGTTACATCCCACAATTCAGCCCAGATCTTGAATAATCTATAACTGATATTAGATCTTTGGCATTGACCCCTTAGATGTGGCTCAGAACAGCTAACTGAGCATGTTTGAAGGGTAACTAAAAGGCTACAGGATGAAACTGGAATAGATAAAAAGGCAGATCATTATGTTTCTTCTCAAGTCAGCAGGCATTAGGTGATATAAAATGCATTTATCACTCCGGATGAAGACATGGTGCTCTTCCAATGCATAGATTTGGAGGTGTGAATTTGTTTCCGCATACATTACATTTTCACAATCACACATTCAGTATGTACATGCTAAGAACTTAACAGATAACCTGGCATTAATTCATAGCTACGTAGCAGAAGGAACCCAGTGTTATGACAATCCCTAAACAAGTGTTAGATTAAGAGCATAAAAGGAAAGGATGATTACAAAGCGGGTTGAGTTGGCAAGATAAAAATAGGAGGGAAAGGAGAGAAAATTTATGGAGGTACCAACCATCAAATCCATCTCAAGCTCATTCATCTCAAGCTCATTCATCCACCCTCTCCACAAGTTCATTTTAATACAAACCACCACCACAAACCATTGAGTTAGCGATTTTTTTGAATGCTTAGTATTATGTATCTATTTAAAATAGGTATCATATGATCTGCAGTACTTGATGAAGTTTGTACCCACGACTTTGCTGCTCTTGTTATTGTGAAGAGTGTTTAGTATCATTATTTTTTCTTTCTGGTATTGATGACACAGAGGTCCCAACATATGCTGCATATCTTCAGCAAACTCCAGATCAGCATTATCAGAGAAGGGGTGTCTCAGCATTTGGCTGTGGTTTGGCGAGTTGTCAGCTGATGTTGGAAGATCTATGACAAAGAAAAGAGTGGACAATATTGTGGATGTGAACTCAGCCAAGTTCAGAAATAGCATATCAGCATTCCAGAGAAGGCAATATCCATATTTGCACCTCAACAGGTGTCAGGTCAATTACATTATTTACAGGTGAAACTCGAAAAATTAGAATATCGTGCAAAAGTTCATTTATTTCAGCAACGCAACTTAAAAGGCGAAACTAATATATGAGATAGACTCATTACATGCAAAGCAAGATCGTTCAAGCCATGGCTTG